TGTATGGACTCAGTAGCTAATACGAGAAATGGTGGTAAGAAGGTGAAGCATTTCTCTGTGTTTGATGATTTGAGAGCACAGGGAAATGAGAAGCATTAAGCATTTGGTTAGATGCCTGTCTTTCTTGCTCTGCTTTCCTCTCACTGAAGGGGTATGCATTTTATTTCAGGGGGAATGTGCCTACTCTGTCCTAAGCCATTGGTGACACTTGGCCCATTATAAGTGTACCTGCGGGGAGGGCTTTTCTTTTTCTGGCCCCATTTATAAGCCAGGGGTTACTTCCATTTGCTTTGTGTGCTGTTGAGTTTTATTCTCTCTGGTTTCCCTAAGCTAAGCTCTAAGCTAATTCTATACAAAAGAAATATTAATTAGTTGTTTTAATAAGTTGCTTGCCATTAATGCCTGATAATATGCAGTAAAATAAGGATTCTGCATACCATTATATATGTCAAATATTACAGACTTTAAGGTTCTTTTAATTACAATACTAAACTCAGTTCACTTTTGCTTAGCCTTCACAGTTGTTGATCACATAGCATGGTCATCCACTCACAGCTTAAAAAAATACAGGGAGCATCGGAGAGAATGGGTAAAGTAAAATTTTGATGTTTTTAAAATAGCACCTAAATCTATGAAAGTTTATTTGATTTATTGTTTGTATGGGAGGGAGAGGGTGGGTGGTACTGGAGGGAGGGTGGGGGGTGGGCATTGGTAAAATAGCATGCACCATGTAAAACAATGTCAGATACGATATAGGCTGGTTTTCATTGTTACTAGTACAATTTAGGTCTTAAGTCTGTTTCAGAAAAGGTAGGACCATAAAATAGTGGTGTTGGCATTTTGCAGTGGGCTTATTTTTCCCTCCCAACAGATTGGAGGGGATTTTGAGAATAGCAATATTTGAGTACAGTTTGGACAGGAGCCGCCTTTTTAGAGCAGCCTGTTGGCATTCCCCAAGTGAAACTGCTTCACTGCCATGTTAGGCCCTGTTAACTTGCTGAAAAACTTTTGAGAGGAATATTAGGCATTCCACTTTTTATTGTACCCCTGCAATCAGGTATTCCCAAATACAAATTACAATTTGTGAAGCTCATGAAGGGGTTGAATCAAAGAGAGAGGTAAAATAAGTTGTTACTCTGAAGTTAGTTGCTTGGTAGGAAATATTGACAGAAATTTTGATGCTTGCATTCAGATGAAAGGCACTTTGCCCAGCAGAGTTCTCAGTCAAGTTTCTTATTCTACAAACTTGGCATTGTAGGTATGTACAAAGCCTAATTAATGTAGAGGTTATAGGGCAGAGCAACCTCCATACTTTTATGGTTAGGACATTGTGTTGCTATTAAATCACTTGATCTAATCTCTGCCCCATAATTTTTAAACTTTTTTTTTTTTTTACTTTGTTTATATACTAAAAATCTGGATTGAAGAAAAAAATGAAAAAAATTAAGAAATCAGGTATTACCCACACAGTATTCTGACCCCAACTTTGCTCTTCCCTTACATTGAAGTCATTTGCCAAAGTAAAATAAGACTTGCTGTGTTTACCATTTCCTAAGCCTTTCTGCCTCTATAAACTTTGTCAAAGATAATACTCCAGTTTGGAATGTTCTTCTTCTTTCCTGTGGTTTAAGTCCTATCTTTTCTTTAAAATTGGGCTTCTACTTTTTGCATGAAGCCTTTTTTCTAACCTCTCCATCCTTGGTGGCCATTCTATAGCATCTTAGAAGTATTGAAGTACTACTGTTAGTGAAACCCATTTGGCACTCGGGTCATGCTACCTTTATTACTTGTTAAATGTCCTCTTTCTCTCTCAGAATCATGGACTCCTTGAGGGTAGAGAGCTTCTAATTATATGCCTATTTGTAGCCCCATTGACTAGCCCAGAGGAGATACTTTCACTAATAGGTTTGATTCTGTGATTTGGATCCAATGTTAGTGTAAGAAGGTAATTGTTTTTTCATAACTCAGGTAATTTTTATATGAATATAGGCCCAGAATACCCAAAGATAAAGTATATTGAATTCATAAAGTAATTCTTTGTATTCAAAGATTTGATTCATAATTGTTTTTTATTAATTGTAGTCTCCCTCCCCCTACCAACACCCCCCCCCCCCCCCCCCATGGGCACTGTTTTACCAAGTTTCTTTTGAAAAACATGGTTTGGGCCAGATACCTTGACAGAAACCAAAATTACCAGTATTTTTATTTTAAAAATTCTTTGTTGATTTAGCCAAATTATACTTCCATGGTATATGCCCAAATAAATTAATGAAATACTGCTTGGTAGTGTAAACAAATTATTTTAAAATGTTAACCTTAAGACTCTTAAGTAAAGCTTTAAAAATACAAATAAACAGATACTTAGTTGCTAGTTCCTCAGGATATTTCTGTATCTTAAATTATTAGGGGTTTTATTATTTCATTGTCTTAAAGGTTTCTGTAATGCATAGGCTGATATTTGATAGCTGTATTTATTGTGTTTGCAGTTATCAAATGTTTTTAGAGCAAGCATTTTGAGGCACTGAGAAGTTACTTTAAAACACTTTTTGGCATTTATAGAAGTAGATTCTTTTTGTAAAAACTCATCAAAGATAGTCTTTGCTAAATTCATATTTGGAATTGTTTATATTTCACCTGATAGCTGTGTCTTCAGGGCACATATATCTTAATATTAGATTTAATGTGATTTCTGAAGCAAAAACAGTCGCCCTACTTCACAAATGTTTGATTAGTAAGATTCCTAAGAACCTTGATTTTATTCTAAAGCCTGGTTTATAATAATCTTGAGCCATTAGTTTGACATAGCATTGAAACAGTACTCTTGTTAACATACTAAAAAGCTTAGATATTATAGCAGGGAGAGTCCTAGATATGAAAGGGTTTTTTTTTCCTACTTAAAACCTACATGATCTTTAAGTTTCTTAATATAATTTGGGTAGAGATTTTAAATAAGACAGTTTTTCTTACATGCCAGTAAGCAAAAAATGTCTAGTATATAGCATTGCCTTTCTGGTGTGAGCTTAACTTATTCTAATGTGAACTTAGGCCCTCCCCAAAGTCTAAAATGAGGTAAAATTTTTTAAAAAGCATTTTTTAAAAACCCCAGTTGGCCCACAGAGCATTTCCTAGAGTTCCAGCATTGGACTTTTTCCTGTGGTCAATCATATTCTTTTGTAGGGTTACACTTGTTAAGTCAATATTTTGAAAAATAAAACACCCTGATTTTGTTCACTTTTGTTTTCATATACAAGAATCTTTACAGTCAACATGTACTTCTAGATGCTGTATTGAAATTGCTGGCAGAGTCTATTCTATACAAACTGAACAATCTGGCCCCTTGTTTTATTTGTAAAGGTTCAATGTATCTATGCCTGCCTACTTCAATCTGCAAGGGAGTGTCAGAAAGGCCCCGCATTCGCCGAGCCGTGAGTTATCACTAACTTTTCAGATGTGTTAATGAATGTGGAACAAAAGCAGTTGTGTTTAAAAGGAAAAAAGGACCATCAAAATAACCTTTATTATAGTAGCAGGCGTGAACACTAAATGATTTATTCCAAATTGTGGTGTCAAAAATAACCTACTTTAACTAGAGACTAGCCTCTAGAAAACCTATTGTTGAACTGCTCTGAAGCTATCATTTTAGCTATAAATTATTTTTCTTAAATATAATATACCCTGATTGCAAATTAGAGTGTTAAGTCTTTTTAACGGAGTTAAAACAATTTGAACAAAATCTTACCCCACCTGAAAATGACATATTTAGTTGACTGCATTAAGCTCTTCAAATAAGACCATGTGAAAGGGGTAAAGGCTTAACCTTTTTGTTGCTCACATGTAAAAAACAAATTAAATAATTGGATCACTTCCTAGATGAGTTTTTGGAGTGCCCCAGGCATCACATGAAGTACAGAGGTTTTTATAATCTCTTTTGGTACCAACAGTTCTCGCTTCAGTAATTCATCAGTAGGTTTTCATTCATCAATGATGGTATCAATTTAAGGCTAAAATAAAACACATTTCTTAGGGTTGATCATTCTACATAGAGGAAACATCCTTAAGAGATTTTCCCCCCCACAAAGAGATTCTAAGCAAAACAATTGTAACTAACATCTATATTTTGTTATTAGAGCTAGTTACCTTTATTTTTCTTAGACTCTTTAAAATTTGAGTTAGATAGGCCTATTTGATTAGCAGGTTGGATGCTTCTGTTGCTTAGGAGGTATATTGTGTTATATGAAGACAATAAATTTAAATGTACCCAGTTTGGCCATATATAGCACAGACCACCTAAAACGTGAAGGTATGGTACCTTTGGAGGCATTAAAGTTAACGTTTCATTTAGGCAATGTGCCTTTGTTTGACTGGTGTGTAAGTCCTTCTTCCAGGTTTGTACACTCTTAAACACGCTATTCTACCCTCTCTAACTCATCCCAGCAGCAAATGGGAGACACTTCAGCTGGAACAAAATAGTGGAAGAAATGGCGTCTGGGGTTCAGTGGGGATTCGCAGTGTGTATGCAATGTTTGCAAGATTACTTTTTATGTTTTTCAATTAATGTAAATAATTACAAAATAAATCTATGCTTAGCGTCAAGTAGGGAACATTGTATACCAGTAGAAACTCTCCTAGTGGGTCTGCTGCAAGTCGCTTAACCTCTTGGGGCCTCAATTTCCTCATCTGCAGTTTGAAGGAGTTGGACTCAATAATCTTTAAAGTCCATTCCTGCTCTGTATCCTATGCTTTTCTGAAGTACTCTGTTAACAATGCATTGCTTTCCCACTTTGACTATTTGAATTATATTTGCAGTACACATACTGCAGCTGCATGTCTAAAATAGTTTTTTCATGGGATATTATATAAAAAACTAATCCCTCTTGAGCTGATTTATAAATATATGTGTGTATAGCCACACAGAAAAAGCTAGTGATAGTAGGGCTCTCAGAAAGTAAGTATTTTCCAGTTGTCTAACCTTGAATGTTATTAACTTTCCTATATTACAGGAGATACTACTCGCCAACGAATCAAATTCAGTGATGACCGAGTGTGCAAGAGTCACCTTCTCAACTGTTGCCCCCATGATGTCCTCTCTGGAACTGTACGTATTTATTAAATCTATTGTTTGATTATTGGTATCCTTCGAAAATGAACTACTTGATAAAGACTTAATTCCTTGTCAAGTTATTATGTGGTGATTTTTTAAAACACTGTTAGAAGAGGTATTTGCATCCCTTATATTGTTTGAGTTTCCCAACTGCAAAAATGGGATTCCTCCCAAAAGTAGTTGCTGTGCTTTATCATTTTTTCCTTCTTCAGAGCAGTTTTTGGAAAAGCCTTTCTTATTTGGAATATAGAGGCAATTACTGCACTATAGTTGCGCTTTTAGTTCCAAAATAATATAAATGATTTTTAAAATAGTTTTTTTTTTTACCGTTGGGCAGAGTAGACTTTTATCCAAAGCATTATATATTAAGATTTGTGCACGTTATATTCTGGAACTCATAGTGGAGAAAACATTTTAGTAAATACTTAAATTCACAGAGCTTAATTTGCTAGTAATGTTGTCACTTAAATTCATTTTATATTGCTGACTTCTAATGTAAAAGCTCGTTTAATTTAGATGCTATATCTAGTCATGTTGGTTGACCTTGGAGTATCATCATTTTTTTATTTTTCATCATTTTAATTTGAAAGATAAACCACATGATGATGGACCTGTTTAAATGGAACAAAGGATCTGATTTCCTGACTTGATGTGGTTGAAATGGTTACTCACTGTAAGAGCTTCCCTTCTCTGGGTAGCTGTGATGGCAGCTAAACATTTAGTTGGCTTTATTTCTCATTTGCCTGAAATGATGAAAAGCTTTGTGATTTCCATTTTCAGAAGTGATGAGTTCCTGTAGTTAAATTAGTCTAAATGAATGGTTTCTTCTTAATAGGAAGAATTAAATACCTCTAACAGATAGATACCAAGGCATATGCAGTAGGAAACACTTTTGTCTTATTCCAGTAGGAAAGACTGTGGAAACTGTATTATGTTAAAAGGAAAAAGAGAGCCTATGTTTAAAAACATGTAATACTTGAATTTTTTTTTTTTTTTTTTTTTTTTTTTTTTTTTTTTTTTTTTTTTTTTTTAAGAATAACATAAGGTAAGAAATTAGATTCTGAGCATTTGAATTAGAACTATGACAGATAAGTTAGCCCTTGTATCTACTGGGTAATGTATTTTCTACTGTGATATAAAACATTTGAAATGTGAAAAATCGACAATTATCTGGAGTATCCTTTGATTCTTCTTACTATTGTAGTAAATTTAACAAAGTCATTTTATTTAATGGCTAAGTTAATCACTTCAAATAGATTTTGAGAACGGGATTAATTACCAAAATGACAAATTTAGTTTTATTTTTTTTTAAGACTTAAAACCAGCCATAGCAAGACTTGGACACAGTGTTATATTCTTCAGATATGGCATTATTAGTAAGAATCACAGTTGTGCTTTACATTTTATAATGTACATAGGCAATTACGCTCATTTCTTAAAACTATTTTGTGAGGTAAATGATTCACAGCCTTAATGTTCGTAGGTGAGTTGCTCAAAATCACATAGTTCTGTTGATTTAAAGTAAAACTGGGACCAAAACTGAATTTTATTCAGCATGTTTTCTACTCTAGGGAGTACTTAATTTTTCATTATGTTGGTCTTGGACTTTGCTTCTTGTAAAGTTCTTGTCTGGTAGATTTATAAGATGCACATTTTCTCAAATGTTAACATCTCTGAAATGCACATTAAAAATTTTTTTTTTTATGTTTACTTTTATTTTTGAGAGAGAGTGCAAGCAGGGGAGGGGCAGAGAGAGAGAGAGAGGGAGACACAGAATTCAAAGCAGGCTCCAGGCTCTGTGCTGACAGCACAGAGCCTGACACGGGGCTCAAACCCATGAACCCTGAGATCATGACCTGAGCCGAAGTTGGACGCTTAACCGACTGAGCAACCCAGGTGCTCCAGAAATACACATTTTAAATTGATGATAGAAAAAGTATGAATTGGTTACTTTTTCTTATGGTACAGAATTGAATGCTGAGGCTTAAAATTGATGGTGCTTGGATTATATTAAAAACAGTTAACAAAAGCCCTTCTACATGTACTTGTCAGGGAAACTGTGGATGAAAATACCTCATTTTGTCAGTGTAATAGGCAAGAGATTGTCGTATGTAAGAATGAGATTAAGTAGTTGTGAACCTCTTTGAGAATTAATCAGAACTTTATAGATTGGCTATAGGACTTTGTGAGAATCCAGGGTTATAGAGTGGTCTCCTTGAGAACTCAAAACTATCCATAGTGTGACTTTCTCATGACCCTTATTAGGAAAAAGAGCTATTTATAACAGTTCATCCTGTGTACAGATGGTTTGTAATTACAGAGTTATGACTTCTTTAGCAACCAGTCTCTGTAGAACAACTCCTTTTCTGGCATAGTCTAACTATTCATACATTGTTAGCCTGTTTTCATTTGCCTTTACATTGAAATGCCTGCTTCTCTTTTGTTGTTGTTGTTTTAACAAATTAGATGAAAAGAACTGAATTGTAACTCTTAATTTTATAATGCTTTTTCTTTGTTGCATAACTAAAGTTTACCCGTTGCTCAGATTTGTCACTTCCAACAGAATATGACTCACTAATACTCTAGATTATTTAGCAGAATACACAGAAATGTATTCTCTGGCATTTTTTGGAGATGGAGAGTGTGATTTCTAAAAACGTACTCACAGCTATTAGTATGGAATATTTTTGGAATTTAGTTTGGTGAAAATGCTCTGTAATATTTTACCTTTCAGTAGTCTGATACTCTGGTATAACTAATTCATAAACTAATAAGAGGAGGTCAGGTGTACAACAGAGAGGCAAATAATTGTGTATATGTTTATTTGGCTTATGATTTTTAAAGAAGTGCGACTGTTTCTTTATAACTGAGGAAGCTGCTTTATTTTAAAGGCTTGGGTTATTTTCATATTCCTCTATAATAGTGTCTTGTTTTAGTCTCATTCATTGCCTTCTTTAGACACGCTTGGTTTCTTCCTGTTCTAGTCACTATCCAAACAGTAGGCAGCATCTGCTTTCAGGTCAGGCAAAACAGAAACCTAAACAAAATTGTCCTTTTTTTCTCCTAAATACATTATTTCTGGTACATACCTTCCCTGAAGAAAAATAAGTATATTGAAGTGCTCAAAAACATATCTTTCAGTCTGGTTCCTTGTGATCTAGGAAAAAGATGTGTAGTAGTAATAATTTATAGAAGCATTAAATCCAAAGCAGAGATGGTAACAGAAGCTTGAAATTAAGATCTACAGAGATGAAAATGTACACTCTCGGGGCGCCTGGGTGGCTCAGTTGGTTAAGCGGCCGACTTCGGCTCAGGTCACGATCTCGCGGTCCGTGAGTTCGAGCCCCGCGTCGGGCTCTGTGCTGACAGCTCAGAGCCTGGAGTCTGTTTCAGATCCTGTCTCCCTCTCTCTCTGCCCCTCCCCTGTTCATGCTCTGTCTCTCTCTGTCTCAAAAATAAATAAACGTTAAAAAAAAAAAATTTTAAAAAGAAAATGTACACTCTCATGATGTGCCTGTCCTAAAATCAGAAATGGCCACTACTAATTTTATTATAGCCATCATAGTACAGTTGTAGGATTGACAGGCGTCATGATTATAGTAGAAGGTCGTTATTTCATAGATGGGAAAAATTAGGGCTCAGAGAAGCTGTGCTTGTCAGATGTCTGACAATTATAGAAACACACACGAATCTTTTTTTTTTTTTTTTTTTTTTTTTTTTATTCTTGAGACAGAGAGAGACAGAGCATGAGCAGGGGAGGGGCAGAGAGAGAGGGAGACACAGAATCCGAAGCAGGCTCCAGGCTCTGAGCTGTCAGCACAGAGCCCAACGCGGGCTCGAACTCACAGACCGCGAGATCATGACCTGAGCCTAAGCAGTTGACTAACCCATCAGCCACCCAGGTGAGCCCCAAATACTAGCCTACCTACAATCTTAAGAGCTATTTAAATCTCCTTTAAAAAAAAAATGTTTCTGTTAATTTTTTAGATAGCACATTTACTTAAGGCAGTGACTTGTAGATGCTTCTGAAATGTCCTTGGAGGCATTTCATGCACTAAGAACATGGGGACAGGCCAGTCTTTACTATTTCAACTAGAATTTTACACATTTTAAGTATAGAGCTTTTCCATGAAAGTTTGTTTAAGTAAAGAGATTCTACTGCTGAGAAATAGAATTTAAAGTTTAAAATTGAGAAATATTAAGGGACAGGGATAAAGTAAAAATTTTCTGTCTTTTTGAAGTGATTAGGTAGGATTATTAGTTTCAAAAATTCTGAGTTGATTTTATAGTGCCCCAATAGGTTCTGAGATCATGACGTGAGTCGAAGTCAGGAGTTGGACACTTAACCATCTGAGCCACCCAGGCGCCCCTATCTAAAGTGTAGTTTTTACTAATTGAAACTCCTTTATTGTTTCTCTAAACTATTCTGTTTAAGGGCTGGTCTAAAATCAGTTACTTGGATACATACAAACCTGAACTTTAAAACTGCTGCAGTCTTGGTAGTACCTATGTAAGAGACCCATGAAAATATGGAGAAGAAGAATAGGTGGTAAGAAAGAAAAACCACAAAATTTTCTCAACCAGCCACTAGAATGTAAGTTTCACAGTAAGAACAGGGATGTTTTGTGGAGCGCGGTGTCCCCAGCATCTAGAACACTGTCCCTCCGTTGTGTTGAATGAATAATTGATTTACCCAAAGTAGAACACTAAATAAATCTGTTACAGAACTAACTTAAGTTTCAAGAGTTAATGATTGTTAGTGGAAATGTGTTTTCTTGCAACTTCTGAGGAGCTGGGCAGTATCTTGGGTTCTTTGAGCTTCTGATTAGAGTATGACAGCAGTAGTTTCAAATGCAGATGTGAAAAATTGGTTTGTAGATAAGCAAATCAACAAATGGTTTATTTAGGGCTGCTTTGGTATTTTTTTTTTAATTTCTTTTCTTAATGTTTATTTTTGAGAGAGTGCATGGGGGGACAGGGACGGGGGAGGACAC